GCCACCCAGACACCCCAAACTATATAACCTTTCAATTACGTATGTTTGTTTTAGAAAACTACATGTGTTAAAAGATTTGTTACAGAGAATAATAGTTAATTATCTAAAGATTAACATTGTATTGGTTGTAGGAGGTGGAATTCAATCACAAATATTGTGATAATTAACCACTATGACCATACTGATCTTGGATATAATATGTTTGAGGTTATAAAAATTGATGGAGTAAAAACATATGTAAAAACTGTTTGGCTTTCCCAGGTTTTCTAAAAGTAAAATGAAGGAGTTAAAAAAAGAAAAAGAAAAAGGAGTGAGTCTAACATTATTTTAAAAGCAATGCAAGATCTTAGTGTTCTCCAAGAGGGGAAAATAATTCTTTGCAAATTCATGATTTGCCCTGATGATTTATTCTTTTACAATAAACTTGGCTGCTATAGTAAATTATCTGTTTCCATGAACTTCAAACCACGCACAGAACAAACCTATACTAATTATTGAGGTTAATAAAATATCTAAGTATTCTACATTACTACTACCATCAACACATAATGACTCAACAAACTCCTCACAGAAACATTTATTTAAAAACTGGAAACAGATTTAATTTTGAAATAATTTTAAAATAAGTACAGCTGTAAAGAAAGAAACTTGAAATAACTATAACCTAAATATTATACAAGTTAAGGAAAGTAAGATAACCTTACTATGTAATCACTGACGTGAACAAATTTATGTGGGCAGATTCACAAAACACTAGTCCAGTAAAGATAGTTCTGCTGATCTTCACTTAAGTTTTAACTATATCAAAAGGTTTGTGCATTTGTTTTGATTTTCTTCATGTAAATTCTTCCATTTTTATACTGTCAGAGAACAGTGACTTGTGTTTCATAATTCATGTACTTGATTTATTTTTGACAATTCTATCACATTTTCAACAGCTATTAAAAAACAATTTCTATCTGCAAATTTTAAAAGGTTGGTAGTTTGGCTTCCATGGTGAAGCACTACGATACCTCAAAGTATACCACTTTTAGAGTTTAACGCATAATTTTTTTAAAGCAAGGGATTCTAACACTAAACTTAATCATATGACCAGTATCCTTCAGAAGGCCTTCCTAAATAATGTCAAGAATTTCAGAAGAAAAAAAAATACTCCTTCTTCGAATTCAATGACCTTTTATAGAAATAGTGTATAATCGGGCGCCTGGGTGGCTCAGTTGGTTAGGCGACTGCCTTCGGCTCAGGTCATGATCCTGGAATCCCGGAATCGAGTCCCGCATCGGGCTCCCTGCTCGGCAGGGAGTCTGCTTCTCCCTCTGACCCTCCTCCCTCTCATGCTGTCTCTCATTCTCGCTCTCAAATAAATAAAATCTTTAAAAAAAAAAAAAAAAAAAAAATAGTGTATAATCAATTGTTTTTTCCTTTTATTTGGCGGTTGGCTATTTAAGGCTAGAATGCTAGAATCTTGACTCATCTTAATGTGGAAGAACCTCAATAGTTCATTTTTCATTCCATTATTCCAGAGCATTCTGTGGCTTAAATTAAGTCCCTAGTATATAATGATTATATTGAGCAGTAGCTTAATAGGACTTAATTAACTTATATAGTGAATGCCTGTCCAAATACCATAATCATCAGTGTTATAAGAGGTTTCCTGTGAAAATCGTATAGCAATCAGAAGATACAGAATACTAGTAAATGCTTTCTAACACAAACTCAAACAGCGAGTAAGATCTTTGTGAAGTTACATTATTTCTGGCTCAAGACTGTGGACTAACCACACACATTTATTTCTTCTCCCTTGTAAGACCCTTCCTTCCATTAAACGATAATGAAACAGAAAGTAAGAATCCAAAACAACATTAAGTGAAGAGGAAGGGAAGAGAGTAGCAATCAGTAGAATAGCATTTTCAACAAATTCCTAGAAGGCAGAATGCAGATAGGGGAGTAGGAACTGATGAGACAGGGCAGAGAAAGCTCTGGCTGCAGTAAGTGATCAAGAGGCTACTGATGAGGGGGAAGCCATGTGTCCTGGCAAACCCATAAAAACTGTAGTCGTCCAGTGTATGGAAAGGGAAGAATGAAAAATGGGGCTAAGAATGGGGAAATTAACAAAAGGCTCCATGGGGAATAGTCTATGATACCTACCCCCCAAAAATGGCATGGTGGCCAGGTGTGCATGCCCCTCCAAAAAATGTAGGGGATTTTCTAAAGAAATAGAATGATTTCAGGGAGTACCAGAACAGCTGAACTCCCTAATATGACACATAAAGGTTCCTCATACTATAACCCACACACTCAATAAACTCAGTTCACCCATACAGAAGTCTTATCAATGTTTTATTGTCTGTCATAAATATAAGTAAACAACCAAAACCCATCTTTTTTTTTTTTAAGATTTTATTTATTTGAGAGAGAGCAAGCCAGAGAGAGAACACAAGCAGGGGAAGTGGCAGGCTCCCCACTGAGCAGGGAGCCCACAATTGGGCTCAATCCCAGAGTCCTGGGATCATGACCTGAGCTGAAAGCAGATGCTTAACCGACTGAGCCACCCAGGCACCCCAACCCATCTTTTATTTAAGGAAAGACTACTGAATAACAGAGAAGGGAAAAGATGATAAACAAAAATACAATCCCTGGAGAAAATAAAAATAATTAAGAAGACATCTTAAAAAAAATCTATATTCTTTGAAAGCTTTCAAGACACTGTATTCATAAAATAAGAACAAGATGCTGTGAAAGAGGAACAGAGAGCAAGAGCAAGAAAGTGCTCTTGGAAACTAAGATACCTAATTATGACTATGGTAAATAAAAATCATCAGAAGCGCCCCAGGAAAGGTAGAAGAGTGGAGGAAGGAATAGAATCTAAGCAAGGTATCTGACTGTGTCCAGCAATTATGCTTTAACCTACAAAACACAGAACTTTCAATACACAGACTCTACAAAACAAGGTCGAATCCAAAAGAATAAAACAGGCAAACCCCACAGTGATAACAATACAGGAGAAGGCCCAAAGATCACTCATTCAAGCAATTTATAAACAAAGCACAGAAGATAACTCTAGCTTTAGAAGAGACAGTAAGTTACAAATTTTGACACTGCAAAAGGAAAATAATACAAAAGTTGGGAGGTGAAAGAAGAGGAATGGAGGGCAGTGCGGGATCTAGTATCTTTGTCTCACAAAGTGGGGAGCCCAAAGACACTCTCTCTGGTTCATGGGAAACTAAATAAAAATATACTAACCCAGAGATTGTCCTTATATAACAACAGTGCTGTGTGCCGGGCACTTACTAAGAACGTTCTAGGGGGTTGTTCATTTAACTGTACCATACGATGCTCAAAATGATCCTTAAAAAAAGAAAGGAAAAATGTTAAAGCTACAGGGTAACCAACACAGGAACCAACTGTGGTGATAATAACTACATTAAAGGGGAGGAAAGAGAAAGATAAAGAGCGTGGTGAAAATAGGCTGATGCCTCATGTATCAGAGCAGGAAGTCAAAAGATAACATTGGTAAGTCAAGAAACAGAGGCATAAAGATTTAGACAGACAGCGATCATCCCCAGAAGAACTACATACTGAAACAACCAAGAACAACAAAATTTAAGTGGTTCCCTTGGGAAACAGGACTAGACTTGGGAAGATACGTAACAGAAGACTACTGCTTTCATGCATAAAAAATTTCTGAACTTTTTACATCTTTAACCATGTGGATGATTTACTTGGATCATTTCTTTTAAATTCAGTTAATAATTTTTTCAAAAACAGTCACAATCTAGAATGTCCTACTACCTCAGGCAGGTGAAATTCTTATGTATTTTAATGGTTTCCAGAGAATGATCTAATAATGCCAGGTTCGCAAGTTAGCACGTCCTACCTTTTTCACTTAATGCTGCATTTGTGATTCTACGGAAGATGAAGATGTGGCCCCTGGTGGCCTGTAATTGTAAAATACATAGTCCACAGTCTGAAAGGCACTATTTACTCATCTGTCCCCTCTTTAACATTTATGTTCTTTATTCCTCTTTTTAAGAATGGAGAGACTTCAAGACCCTGTTGACCACAAGAATCAGTTCAAGCGAGAAACTTCCTGGTGAGATCAACACTGACCAAAGCCGCCACTACCACCATGCTGGGCTAGAGCGTCAGCACTGGTTGTAACAGCAGAGAAGGGCTGATACACCCAGGCAAGCGGTGTAGATGGTGGACTGAATCCAACGGTAGGTACTGCCTGCTCTTCATCAAGGTCACAAACCAGTGGTCCCTTCCAGTCACACCCCACACACATTTGGTGGGACCTGCACTACGTTGGCCCACACGATGTTTTTGATTTTTGAAAAAGTAGTCAGCATCCAAAACTGATGTGGATTTCCACCTGTTCTCAGTAAATCAACAGAGGCAGTCCCCTCAAGGAGGGCAGGTGTGCCCCCATTTGCCACGCCTACCCTGCTCGCCCCATTTCTGTTACCAGTCCAGCTGTAGTAGCCATTTGCATTTCTGACCCTTGCTATAAAAGAGGAAACCCGTTGACATTCCTGAACTACGCCAAGAGTCTCTGGGGTAGGACTCTTATGCTCAGGTGGCAATCGCACATCGGCGACAACACAACAGTGCTTGGCAGCAACGGCTCCAGAGGGGGGTTAACGGGAGTGGTGCACAGCAGTCATTCCTACCTAAGTGTTGTTTCTAAATAGCCAGGTATTTTAAAGCAGTGGACTCTCTCTACGGGGGTATTACATAAGATCGGCCAATGGAGAAAAAAAAATACACGAATTACCCCCAGGCCTAAAATTTAAGAATTTCAGTGTATGCCTATTTGACCACAGCTTATTCCCTGCCAAGTGCCTTACTTTGAGTAGAACTAGAAATGAAAGACAAACTTTTAAAAAAGTGGTAAATCCTAGTGATTAACACCTAACAGCCGGAAATAAAAACGGAAGCACAAAGTCTGATAACTAGCACTGTAATCTACACTTTCAATAAAATAGTCATTTACTTACATTTTAATGTCTCTCCAGCATATGGTATGTGCAGTTTAAATCGGTCACAGTTGGGTCCAGGAGTCAATGATGTGCAGCTTTAAAGAAAGAGAAGAAAAGATTTTTTTTAAAAAGCCCACGTATTTATGACATTTAGTAAAGTAAATAAAAAGTGATCCTTATAGATAAAAGATTAAAACACTGGCTTATAAAGAAAATAAAAGCCCCTGATGGTTATGGAGGCCAAGACAATAAGACTTGCCCTAAAACAAATAATCCACTTATCTCACAATAAAACTTATCTGCTTTCTAAGGACAAACACCAACAAAGCTTCAACTACTTCTCTCCAATAAGTGTATCTTGGCTTCTAATGTAGATGTACCGTCCAAAACAGGTCTATAGTATTTGACGTCAAAAATTATAAAAGGAGGGCGCCTGGGTGGCTCAGTTGGTTAAGCGACTGCCTTCGGCTCAGGTCATGGTCCCGGAGTCCTGGGATCAGTCCCACATCGGGCTCCCTGCTCAGCAGGGAGTCTGCTTCTCCCTCTGCCCCTCCCCCCTCTCATGCTCTATCTCATTCTCTCTCTCAAATAAATAAATAAAATCTTTAAAAAAAAAATTATAAAAGGAGAGTAGTTTTATGGACAGATTTTAAATACAGACCCTTAACTTTCACTCATACTAAAAAGAGTCCACTTTTTACCTCCAAAGGTAAGGTGCTTCCTCTGGATTTGGCACCCCATGACTTCCATCTACAGCAGAGCACATTACACTGCCCTCAGTTTCAGATAAAATGCAAATGTAAAAGGACAGTGATTTAGTCACTCAGGTCTGGGTTTGGCTTTTTTCAATCTATTACTTCACAAAGTTATACAATGTTCTTTGTTCTTTACACAGATATAGTTTAAAAGATCTCTTTCATGATCTCACAAGTCATAACTTCAACTGCATTAACAGCAGTATTGGCTTCATAAATTAATATAATATTAATATGAAGTCAATAGAGGAATTTATAAGTCTTCATTTAGTTTTAAAACACGAGGTTTTGCAATTATAAAGTAAAGCAAAAAATGCTAAATTTCTTTCATAATTCCAATACTGACTATGAGGCATCTCTGAAAAGAGTATTTTAAGGAATGGAAGCATTGTTAGAATAAATGTACTACTTCCCTAGATGGCCACTTTGAAGGCAATAGTCATTTGAAAATAAATTTAAGAAATGTTGACTCTAACGGATGCCTGGATAGAAGTGTCTGACTTCTGGGTCAGGTCTTGATCTCTGGGTCGTTGGGGGGCTCCGTGTGGGGCTCCATGCTCAGTGCAGAGTCCGCCTGCGATTCTCCCTTTCCCTCTCCCTCTGCCCCTCTCCCCACTCATGCACCTGCACGCACATGTGCACACTCTTGTCTCTCAGGAAAAAAACGGGGACTCTAAAAAAACTAACTGAGATCTCATATTAGTTTTACCATCACTTTACCCAAAACTATCTGAACATGAAAAAGAAAAGAACCAGATGGAAAGTTTAACTCAGATGTATTTAACATAAATCACTAGGTTGATTATTCCTCTTATCTTTAGGGGACAATAAAAAACACCAGTTGACAAACTAAACAACAAAGTTGCACTAGTAATTGTAGAGTAACCTATTTCAATTTCTTATAGGTTTTATGAACACATTCTCCTTTACTGTTCAATATAAAAAATTCTTTGGGGCACATTTTATTAAAGGTACTAAAATATTTCCCTTGTAATATAATCTTTCCTAGCCCACAGAATGGCAGTTATTTGAAAACAATTATGGAAAATACATAAATTAAAGCATTACAAAATATAAAGTATGATCTAATGACAGAAATGACCTACAAGAAACACTAAGAATTTTTTCTCATATATATTCAAAGAACAATGTTTTAAAAAAAATTTTTTAATAAAAAATAAACACCATTCACAATCAAGCATCTCCTTTGGGCGTGAAGATCAAATTATCTCCCTATCTTACACAGCTTAGCAACTGAAGTTATTAATAGAACAGGAAATCCTCAGGATTAATCTGATTCTAGTTTGTTTGAATAACTTGTTCTTTTTCAATTGTGAAATCAGTTGTGACATTCACTGTTGGGCTACATTTTGTATTCTTTACTTTATGCTTTAACGAGGACTAAAAGGTGCTTTATGCTCTGCCCCTTCACCTTCCTCCCGTCCTCCCGACCTCCCGTGAACAGCTGGTTCCAGCCACCCTAGGGTGTTAAAAAGTACATTTCTTCATCTGAGTGATTCGCTCACTGATTTTTTTTTCACTTAGGTATAAAGATTTACTGAGCATTGTTGTATGTGTTAGGAATACAACATGGACAAGACAAACAAGATTTACCCTTCCAAGGAACTTAAATTCTGACAAGGGAAAAAGAAGCAATAAACAAGAGACAAAGGTATAAAGATGGTTCAAGACTGTTAAATGTTGTGAAGAAAATAAAACAGTGTCGCAGTCAACAGGAGCTACAGGGCACTGGAAGACTGGGGAAGACCTCCCTGGGAGGAGGTGAAATCCGAAACCTGCGTAACTATCACCAAGGGGCCTACCAGGGCGAGTGCTGGGCCAGAGCACTCCGGGCAGAGGAAACAGCTGGTGCAAAGGCGTGAAGGCAGGAACAAGTCTGATATATCTGGGGGAAGAAATCTTGATATGTCTGGGCGATGCAGCTAGAGCAGAGTGAACGAGGGAGAGAACAGCAAAAGATCAGGACAAGGGCGAAGCCAAGGGACAGATCTCAAAGAGCCTTGCAGGTGGTGGCAATTAATTCAGATTTTATTCCAAGCACAAAGGAGGGTTTTAAGAAGAGTAATATTATCTGATTCTATGCTTTTTAAGAGATCAACCATATTTACTGTATGGAAAAAGAGACTATAAAGATGTCCAACAGAAACCAAGAGGAGTGAGTTTCAGGAAAGAAAAGATGATGGATACTTGGACTCAGGGAGCAGCAGTACCAATGGAGAGATGTGGATTTACTCACTGGGGACGACTAGGAGGGGAACAAGTTTAGGAAAAAGAGCAATCAAGAGTATACAGTGTGAGACAACAGCCAAATCGTATATGGAAACAGAGCCAGAGCAATGGGTGGGCCAGCCAATCCATAAGGGCCATGAAAACATCATGGAAAAGACAGAAGAAAAATCTGCCAAAACTCACCTTAGAGCAAGCGCTGTATATTGTTGAAAAGACCACTTACTTGGTGTGGGGACAAGGGCAGGGGTCATACTCCCCAAAGAGCATCCCCAAGTTAAAATGGCTAATCTCCAGTTAACTGCAGGTTTCTGTTTTGCTAAGAGGAATATACAAATTTGGGGCCAAGAACTTAACAGTTCAAGGCAACAGGGGAAAGACGAAGCTGCCATTAGCAGGTCTCTCTCTCCTAAACAGCACTCAGCTTCTCTCATGAAATGTTAAACAAATATTTAAAATATCTATTATGAAAAACTAATTAATTAATTAATTAATTAATTAAATATCTATTATGTTCTATCTTCCATATTACCCAAGATAAACAGCTTTATGGGAAACAAGCCAATGTCATGTTAACTAAAGGTTCTTTTAAGATTAAACTAAAAATGTCTCCCCTTCTTTAAAATTACCTCTGTCTAAAATTGGTTTTGGTCAGGGGCGCCTGGGTGGCTCAGTCGTTAAGCGTCTGCCTTCGGCTCAGGTCATGATCCCAGGGTCCTGGGACGGAGCCCTGAATCAGGCTCCCTGCTCAGCGGGGAGCCTGCTTCTCCCTCTGCCCCTCCCCCTGCTTGTGTTCCCTCTCTCACTGTCTCTCTCTGTCAAATAAATAAATAAAATCTTCAAAAAATAAAATAAAATTGGTTTTGGTCATGTATTTAATTTACTGTGAAATTTCAAACCACATTCAAGGACGGCATTGGTTTTTCTGCTACTCAAAAAAGGGCATGGGTTAAAAAAGATCGAAGAACACATATGAATAGAATGATTTCCACTTATGGAAAAGACAGATCTGTGTGTATGTCTATGCACATAAACAGAATTCAGAAGGAGAGTCACCAAAATATGGCAGGATTTGGAGTAATTTTTACAACTTCCTTTGATTACCTTTCTGCATTATTTTGATTTTTATGATGAACATGGACTACTTTATAATTATATAAATATTTTAAAGTTAAGTAGTTCCTTTTTATATTTGACTAGATGGCTTGATTGATCATTTATCTTTTTCCTCTAAAGAGCTTCACTCTTTTTTGAGAAGGAAAAACTGCAAGGGTAATCTACTAATGAATTCCTCAAGTAAAATATATACAGAAGTCTTTATATTGTGACATTACAAAACTTCACACGGCTAATATTTATTTCCCTCATGGTTCCATTGGGTCAGAGTTTGGGAATGGCCTGACTGAGCAGTTCTGGTGTAAGGTCTCCCAGGATATTGCAATCAGACATCATTAACAGATAACTAATATAGTGGAGTTCATTCATCTAGAAAATCATTTCCTTATATAAGTATGAAAAAGCTACTAAAATAACAAGCAGCTGGCTTCATTAAAATTATATTTGTATAATGGCAACTTGTCCTAACACAGGTCTAAGATTTAAAAACCAATATTCCAAATTGAGTATCTCTCAATAAGAAGATAATTTTAAATGGTTTAAAAATTGCTGACAATCTAAATGTAACCTCAAATTTGTCCCTCAACTAAATTTCCCGAGTGCTTACCCCTTGTCAGGGACTGTGCCAGGTACACAGAATACGGCAGGGATGAACAACAAAAAAAAATCTTGGTATTATATTGGAAAAAAAAGTTTTTGCATGAAGAACTATGCTCTAAAAATATATCTTTTACTGGGAATGCACCATTTTAAAGTTTAACACATGGGAGAACAAAGGGAGTTAAACTACCACATTCTGCAGATGATGCAAGTGGGAATTATCAAGTGAGAATTTCTGATAACATCAGAACAGGTAGTTTACCTGTGGTGCTTTATTACAGAAAATAGAGGCAGCTAACCACAGATACAGTAAAATGCTAAGCATAACACCCTCCACATACTCTTGTCTCGACCATCTCTTATCTCACATCTAATCA